TTCAACTTGGTTTAAGATATGGGAGGATGTTTTGATAATTGTCCATGAGGGCTCACATTTTTCCTTTTGCATTAGGTTCCAATATGACTCCCCTCAGCATTGCCTGATAGATGGGCATTATTATTAGTATATTATTTTTTCAGATGCAGAACTGAGGCTCAGAGAGGTTAGGTAATTTTTAGAAGGTCACATAGCTAGGAAGCAATGAAGTTGGACCTCAAACCTACCTCTGACTCCCAAACCCATGCTTTTTCCAAAACCATGTTGTTAAGACATTAGACCAGGATCAGCAACCTTTTTCTGTAAAGGGTCAGTCAGTAAATATTTTATTTACTAATAGGAGTAAACCTTTTCAGCTTTGTGGGCCCTTAGTGTCCGTCAACTATAACTACTAAGATCTGCCACTGCAGCAGGAAAGCAGCCATAGACGATAGGTAAACTAATGGGCATGGGCAGATTTGGTCTACGGACCTCCGTTTGTCAACCATGCACTAAATCATAAAAAAAAAAATCTCAGGTACAAATATGTTGTAACTTAGATGTTACCACCAGATCACCCTGACATCTCACTTGGATATGTTTCTTTTCATTTAACATTGAGAAGGCAATACATGATCTTCTGGCCTGCTCTACACAGGAATCTTAAGTCCTTATCAAAGGATATTGGAGACATCACCCATCCAGTTGTAACTTTCCAGTCAACAGGAAATGGCATTTCAGAGTAATTGAATTTTAAAGAAGTCTGAATAAGAAGGTAAACAAAAGCTCAGCAAAGAACCAAGTCTACGTGAGCCATGACCCCATCTACCCTGACATCAGAACTATATGGTGCCTGGCCATCACCGCGGACTGTTCTGACCAGGGTCACAGTAGATGGTCCCAGATAGAAAGGGAGTACAATATGGAGCAGAACTCAAATTCTTCTTGAATGAAAAAAAGAAAGAAAGAAAGCCAGACAAATTGGAACAGTAGAGAACAGAGGTCTTTCTGAGACTATCTCCCTGAGACCCTCCTTAAACCTAGAACTGAGCCAATCCCCTGAGGTCACCTTTTAGAGAAAGAGCAGAGTAGCACACAAAATAAAGGATATTACCCGTAAAATCAGTGCTCCACTTAGAAACCATCAGTATGAGACCAAAAGGTCAACAATTACGCAAAAGCAAAGATGAGAAGATAAGGGGGCAGAGAAACTAGGGTACTGGAAATGAAACGAACAGAACACAATTAAAGAGAATGTTGACACATTGTAATAAATGTGTCTAATTTGTGTGGAAATGGGAACCTCACTTGCTATGTAAACTTCCACCAAAACTCAATAAAATACTGTTTAAAAAAATAAGTAAATAAAGTAGTCTAAAGAGGAAAGGTGAAGTTTCTCCTGTTTCAAAGAAACTCTAATAGAAAAGGCTAAGCTTTAGAAACCAGTTTGACATGGTCTACGTTTAACTCACTTGCACCCTGTTGATACTAACTCTGAACAACCTTGACTTTGTAACAAATAACAACAATAACCAAGAAGAGGTTTGCTTTCTGAAGGCAGGCAAGTAGGCGACCTGGTTAGAAACACAAACAGAATTTACTGTATTTATGTGCGTGAAGCCATTTTAAAAAGTTACCATTCACAAATCCCTAATGCTGGTATGCTGTCCACCTTGCCTGAGAACTTGGGGTCCAGCAACGAGCCAAGTTCCTATTCGGTGTACTGGGAACACAATATTGGACAAAAAAGGCACAGTACCTGCCCTCAAGAAGCTTAAAATACTTTGTAACATGGTCCAAAATAAGAGACATTTAATGTTTTCCTTTAAAAATTTTATTAATTTGGGGGAAGGGGGAAGGTTAAGAACCTTAGGCAATTTTTAACCAAGAACATCAGAATCTGAATGTATGATCTATTTTTTTCTGTTTTTCCCCTTTATTTGCATAGTCTGTTTTTGTTTGCATATTATTCCCCAGGCCTGGTCGCTTGCAGACACGTTTTCACATTGTTTCAGCCATAACACGTGCGCCATTTCCTATTCCACTTATTTTATCCACTTGACATCCTACATTCTTCGTAGTATTCATAGGGATTATTTTTAATGGCTGAATAAATGTGCTAACAGGATGATAACTTCTTTATTCAGGAAACATTTATTGATGCCCCCTCTGAGCCAGGCCCTGTTCTTGGCACCAGGGATACAGCAATAGAGAAAGCAGATAAATAGATCAGTTATCCCAGAGTTTCTATTCTACCAGGGAGAAGTTATTCCAGAATAAGGAAAGAAAGCTTGAGTCACACGGTTAGAAAGAAAAACAAAGTGACAGACAAGGCAAAAACAGTCAGGCTGAGCTCAAAGTCCTTTTTCTTGTATTTATTGTGCTGTAGGTGAAAGTTTACAGAGCAAATTAGTTTCTCATTCAACAAGTAATATACAAATTGTTCTCTGACATTGGTTGCCAACCTCGTGATGTGTCAACACTCTGCCCTTCTTAAACTCGGCTTCCCCATTTCCATCCCGTTTTCCTGCCCCTTCCTGCCTTCTCGTCTTTGCTTTCGGGCTGGTGTGCCCATTTGGTCTCATATACATGGTTGAACTACGTTCAAAGTTCTTTGGAAAGGAACTCAGTACAAGAAGAAAGTAGAATAACATCTATAAACCCTAAAGGAAACAATATTGCTTGAAGCCATATAAGGAATTCATTTACAGATACGAATGTACACATACAGACATGAATGTGTTCAAATACATTGAACACATATATATTTTTTCTGATAACAGCCATCTTTGTTGTTGTTGTATGACGTCAAGTCAATTCTGACTCATAGCGACCCCATGTGACAGAGTAGACCTGCCCCATAGGGTTTGCTTGGCTGTAATCTTACAGGAGCAGATCACCAGATCTTTCTCCTGCAGATGCTGGGTGGGTTAGAACCTCCAACCTTTCGATTAGCAGCCAAGTGCTTAAGTGTTGCACCACCAGGCCTCCCTCATGAGCCCCTCTTGAAAAGGTGGCAAGAACCAGTCACCCAGGAGTGAATGGAGACACCAGGAAAGGAGTCAGAGTGACAATGAATGTGTACAGATAGAACTAAAACCACACAACCAGACAAATACGGCTTCTGAAGGTACAACTTCTACACTTTGACAATGGGGAGGAAGTCGGTGTGAGTCCGTGTGTACATTATGAAAGAGGGGCCAGGGAGGGTATGAGAGGCAATGCAGGTGCATTAACTTCCTTATTTTTCTTGGCAGGAAATGGATAGGGCAGATGGAATAACTAGACACCTTCTGTGATTCATACGTCAATGCATAGCCACTTAAATATTTATTTTTAAGCTATAAAGGGAATCAACAGATGAACTGGAAATGAACTTGGAACTAATAAAAATCAGGAGGTAGAAGTCGGCTTAGTGGGGAAAAGTCTTAAGTGTGCTAACGCCCTCATCATTGACAACAGGAGTTCATTAGATATTGTCTCAAGATACTAAAGCAAGGACTCGAGAGGAGGAACGGAAGACTACGGTTGTGACAAAGGTCAGCTGCAGGACATTGGCAGAGGTCAGCAACGTGCTCCATGACAGCCTGAAAGAGTTGCCAGATGCCAAAATTCCTCGCCCGGTGTTAGACACTGGCAGATAATTCTGAATAGCTATACCTAAGTCTGCGCTACTTCCGGCCTACAGTCCGCTCATTCACATCCTATGAAACAGAGATTTAAGTACAAGTATTTCATATAATAGGAGTGCTGGTGACACCGTGGTTAAGCGCTCGGCTGCTAGCCCGAAAGTCAGTGGTTCTAACCCACCAGCCACTCCCAGGAGAAAGATGTGGCGGTCTGCTTCCGTGAAGATTACAGCCTTGGAAACCCTCTGGGGCAGTTCTGCTCTGCGCTATAGAGTCGCTATGAGTCGGAATGGACTCGACGGCAGTGGGTTTGGTTTGGTTTTGGGTATTTCATATAAAGTGATAAAGATAAACGCCAGAAGAATTCAAAGCAGGGTACAAAATTCCCAACATGAGAAAAAATACACAAATAGAAAGAAAGAAGGAAGGAAGAAAAGACAGGACAATTCATACAGGAAAAGAGAGTAAACCAAGAAAGCACTGAACTAGAAAATCTATAGCATGACAGTACTAAACCCGGTGGTGTCAGTTTGGGTCCTCAGAGAAATAGAGACCAAGGTGGGACTGGATGTGCAAGAGATCTGTGGGGAAAGGCGTGTGGAGGAAAAGGGATGAGTAGAAGGAGGTGGGGGTAGCCTTGGCGCCTTGATGCGGGTCTAATGCCCACGAAGGAAGAGAGGAAAGGAAAGACTGAGCAGGAAGCCCCTCACCCCCCCCCCCCCAGCACAACTCTGAGACTATTTCAGCCAGTCTGACAGGGAGTTTGGAGCTACCGTTGTGCATTACGGGACTCCCGCATTCTGGCTCCGGTGTCCCTCCCGGGCTCAGTCATTGGTGGGAACAGCCTGCAGAGACCATGGCATCAGCAGGAACGTTGTGGGGCCCCTGGAAGCCGTCGGTCAGCTCAGCTGTGCTCCCTGCTGCAGGTTCTCTTGACAGTAGATGTGAGCAGAGCACTTCCATGCCGTCACACCAACCATACCTGCTACACCAATAAATGTTAATGAGATAAACTCACCTATTTGAGAAGGATTTTTTTTTTTTTTAAAAAAGACCCTCAGATTGGGTCATAAAATAAAAACCCAGCTGCATACAAACCAAACAAAACCAAACCTGTTGCCGTCGAGTTGATTCCGACCCATAGCGACCTTATAGGACAGAGTAGATCTTCCCCGTAGGGTTTCCAAGGAGCAGCTGGTGGATTCGAACTGCTGACCTTTTGGTTAGCAGCTGAGCTCTTAACTACTGCGCCACCAGGGCTCTAAAACAAGAGAGTCAAAGATTAAAAAGGATAGACAAAGCCATTCTGAGCAAACGCTAACAAAAAGAAAGCCAAATTATGGTTCATTTGGTGGAATTCAAGGCAAAAAAAGTGCATGTTAAAATGAGAAACTGCCTCGCGCTGGTGGCGGGTACAGGAAAATTGGAACCTTGCGGGAAGATTCGCGTGGCCCCTGCGCAAGGATGACACGCGAGCTCGTGAAGCGTTGGAGCTTTTTGTTACTGATTTTACCCATTGCTGTCGAGTCGATTCTGACTCATAGCGGCCCGACAGGACAGAGTAGAACTGCCCCACAGAGTTTCCAAGGAACAGCTGGTGGATTCCAACTGCCGACCTTTTGGTTAGCAGCCTAGCTCTTAACCAGTGCCCCGCCAGGGCTCTGTGACATACATATTTACCACAATCAAAGATAAATAAAAATAAATATAAAAAATGAAAAAGGATATGACACCTGAAACGTGAAGTGCAGGAAGTAAAAGGAAAACTCTATGAAACTAAAGCTCGGTAGTTTGGGGAGGATGAATTTGTCCCTCGGTGTGATGTGGTTGTATTCTGCAAAAGGAATCCCCGTTGCTGGCATTTAGATCCTCGCGCTGTTTGCAGATGATGTAAGAGAAAGAAGAGTCCTTGACCCCCAGGCCAGGCTGACCCCGCTATTGAAGCTGTCCTTTCACCCTTTATCTCCTTTACGTGGCACATGTTATGAGATCTCTGGCTTCCCCATATGACCTCATTCATAATTAACCTCTGCGGCATTCCTCTCTTGGGCTGCTAAGTGGCAAGTGAACAATGATAGAACTTAGGCTACCAGGGGAGTCAGCAGCCCAGCCCTGCGCTACTGATGGCCAAGCCCTAACCCATGATACCTTCTGTTCAATGAAAAGATTAATTCAACAGTCAATTACTTGCTCTGGTAGTTGCTCTGCAAGCAGCCAGACAAGCTGCATGAGAGACATGAAAGAGACCAACACGTGGAGAAAATGTTGACCTTATACACGCGCCTCACTGCATGGTAGAGTCACAGAAGGACTGGGTGAGTTTGGGGCTCGATAAATCATAACCGCCTCTCTTCTGGAGTGGGATCCCTGGTGGCGCAGTGATTAAGAGCTTGGCACTAACCAAAAGGTCAGCAGTTCGAATCCACCAGCTGCTCCTTGGAAACCCTGTGGGGCAGTTCTACTCTGTCCTATAGGGTTGCTATGAGTCGGAATGGACTCCATGGCAACGGTTTGGTTTTTCCGGAGTGAGGTTTCAAGGCCTCTTTCTCTTTTGCCCTTCTATCTGAGCATCGTCTTGTCCTGTTCCTCATTTTCTTCTTCTTCTAATTTGGAACTTCACTCACTCCTGAGCACCAGAGCTTTTTGCTGGAAGTTTCGGATAAATGCATACATGAATGGATCCAGGTTATTAAGGATGGGCAGGGACCCCAGGATGAAGGCTACTCTGAGGCCCAGAATAAAGACGGTTTAATTCCTGGGTGTGCAGGTGTAGATCCATTGAGAACAGGGGCTCAGGGCCAATGGTCCCTCAATTCCTACTGAAGTCAGAACCGAAGTCTCCCAGGGCACTCCCGGCTTCTGTTGGCCCACTGCATGTTAACAGTCTCTCCTTTCCCCTCCCCAAAAATTCCCATTGGTAGTGCGTTTCCTTCATTCCTGAATATCCCGAAGGATCATCTCCAGCTTGGGGACAGGGAAAGTTTGTTGCCCCCCTTCACCTCCTGCTTGGCTGGTACTCTTGCAGCCAAGGAAGCTGTGGGCGAGGGGATTGCAGCACTGTTTTAAACCATTCTTATAATTCGAACTTATGCCATCTTTCCAATTACTACATTATTGTTTCTGGGTACCAGTGCTGCTCGGAAGTTTACTTTGAACTTTCATTTGGTCATGGTGCTTGGTCAAGGCTTTGCATAACATTGCAAATGTAACCCTGTCTCAAAACCGGAGGACCCCAAAGCCTTTCATTTCTGTCCCTCTTTTGTCTTGCAACTTGACCTTTTGTTTATTTCCAAATGGCTATTCCCTTTGTAGCAGAAGTCTTGAGCATTCCTATCTACTTTTATTTTCTGATATCAGAACTCACCGCCTCCCTCCCTCTCTGTCTATCACTGATAATGGCCCCACCCTCTTTCTTCTTTTTATTTTAACTTTTCTGGAAATAATTTAAACTTGCAGAAAGCCTACAAAAATAAAAATAATACATAGAACATCCACAAACCCTTTACACAGATTCACATACTGTTAACATGCAGCCACATATGCTTTATCATTTGCTGTCTTATTCAGCTATGCAGCCATCTATCCAAAGTATTTTTGCCTGACCCACCTGAGAGTAAGTGCACTCATCATGACCCTTTACCTGTCAAGACTTCAGTTGTATTTCCTAAGAATTAGCATTTTCTCTTACTTAACCACGGTACAGTTATCAACCTCAGCTAATTTAACACGGATACAATGATTTCAACTAATTCAGTGTGCGTATCGCAGTGTTGCGTATTGGTCTGATAATGTCTTTGATAGCTTTTTTTCCCCATTACAGGATCTAGTCTAGGACCTGTAATGTATTGCATTGCATTTACTTATTGTGTCTTTGTTGTTGTTAGGTGCCATCGAGTCAGTTCCAACTCATAGTGACCCTGTAGGACAGAATAGAACTGCTCTATCGGGTTTCCAAGGAGCAGCTGGTGGATTTGAACTGCTGACCTTTGGGTTAGCAGCTGAGCTCTCAACCATTGCGTCTCTTTAGTCTCCTTTAATCTAGAGCATTTCTACAGCTTTTTCTTTTGTTCTTTTATGACATTGATCTTTTTGAAGATTACACGTCCTTTTTTTCTAATAGAACATTCTGCATTTTGTGTTTGTCAGACTTCTCCTCATGGTCAAACTCAGGTTCTGCATTCCGCACCAATATACTATTTAGGGGATGTTGCTCCTTCTCAGGGCACCACAGCTGGGGGCACGTGATGCCCATCTGCCCCTCATTGTGGATATGAATTGTGATCACCCACTCAAGGTGCTGTCCGCTCTCTTCTGGATACTTACTGCTTTTCCCTAGTCACTAATAAGAAATCTTTGGGAGACACTTTAAGACCGTACACATATTATGCTCCTCACAAAAATCTCCTCACCAGCTAGATTTAGCATCCACTGATGGTTCTTCTTGCCTAACCAATCTTTGTTACTATGGTTGCAAAATGATGAGCTTCAACACCAGCCCTCCGTCCACTTTCATCAGCTGGCGTTATACTGAAAGCAAGGGTTCTCCCCTTCTTCTCCTTTTATGTATTTGTTGCTTTGTTTGTTTATCTATCTGTTTATTTTGTTATGGAATCATAGATTCCTACTTTTTTCCCCAAAGGCCTATAAATCATTCCTGTCTTTAATTATTTTGGTGCTCAAATTGTCTCAAACTTGGCCAGTGGGACCCCCTTCAAGCTGTCACCCATGTCCTTGTGACATCTTTTTAAGGATTTCCTTTACCTTTTGGCATCACAAGATGTTCCAGTCTCAGCTTATGCTCCACCCCTTCTCCTTTCTTCTAAGGCTGTCCTTGTAGCCTACTCAGCAGGCTGAATGCTTGAAGGTGATGCTTTAAGAGCAAAGAAGGAGAGGGTGCAAGAACTGCCACAGTAGTCAACGGTTTCAGATGGCACAGAAAGGCTCAGGGTAGGGCACCTCACATTCTCCATAATTGTTCCAGGTGGGTGCTCTAGATAGGGAAAGAGGCTCTTGAACCATCAGACTCAACCCACTACAGTTATTTATTGAGTCTTCTGACATGTGCAGGGCACTGTGAGGGATACACAAGATAATAAGACACCATTTCAAGGAGATTATACCAAAAGGCTGGTGGTTCAAATCCACCCAGTGGCATCATGGAAGAAAGGCCTGGCAATCTGCTTCCGTAAAGATTACAGCCAAGAAAACCCAATGGAGCAGTTCTACTCTGTAACACATGGGGTCTCCATGAGTCAGAATCGACTCCACGGCAACGGGTTTTATTTTTTCTTTATCCTCTGGTAGGAGAGACACACGTGTACATAAATAACCATAATACAACCTGGAAAGAGTTTTCAGTGTGTTGTCAATGAGGTACATAAAGGGGCTTTAGGAGTTCTGTGGTCAGCAGTACTTATGGCTGGGCAGGTTGGAGAAGGCTTCGTTGATGCGATTTTTGAGTCTGAACTTGAAGGAGGGTAGGATTAGGAAGAACAGTTTCCTTGGTGAAGTAACATGTGTATGAAGCCCCAGAGGTCAGTACTTATGAGCTCTGAATCAGAAATGACTTTACAACGCCATGCAACTGGCCCAGTCCCCTGCTAGGTGCTGTGTTGTTGTTGTTAGGTGTTGAGTCGGTTCTGACTCATAGTGCTCCCAGGTACAACACGACGAGATGCTGCCCAGTCCTGCACCATCCTCACAATCATTGCTTTGTTTGAGCCCATTGTGGCAGCCACTGCATCAATCCGTCTCGTTGGGGATCTTCCTCTTTTTCACTGACCGTCTACTTTACCAAGCATGATGTCCTTCTCCAGGGACTGCAGCTAGGTGCTGGAAAGAACATCAGAGAAGTTCACCAAGTGTAGGACAACACTCTTTCCTGATAACCAGCTAAAGGTAGAACTGTCTTGATGCCATTTAATTTTTATTTCAGACACAGACGAAACATGTCTTACGTTCACCAGACTGAGCCTTCACAGTGCGGTGGTTGGTACCAGACTAAACGTGAAGCTGTTGCTCTACACAAGGAGAAACCTAACCTGTGCACAAGCCGTCAACTCCACATTTCTTGGGAACTTGAATGTGACCAAGAAAACCACCTTCATTATTCATGGATTCAGGCCAACGGGCTCCCCTCCAGTTTGGATGATGGACTTAGTAGAAAGTTTGCTCTCTGTAGAAGACATGAACGTGGTTGTCGTTGATTGGAATCGAGGAGCTACAACTCTAATATACAGCCAAGCCTCTGGAAGAACCAGAAACGTAGCAAAAATCTTGAAGGAATTTATTGACCAGATGTTGGTAAGAGAGACATTCTCTTAGATAATTCAAGGCCAAATTGAAACCAACCCATTACCTGTAGATTTAAAATCAAGAGGCATCTGCAGTGAGCAGAAGGACCATTCTGCAACATTTTCCAACTCTGGATAAGCCCTTGGGGTGGGGGGACGGGTGGAGGGAAAGACTGGAGCTAACGCCCGTAGGCATAGTCGTACAGCTTGTGAACTGCACAAGGGCATCCATCTAGGAGAGCACCATTGCCATAGCTGACTTTATAGATTTGTATATTTATTATGATAATTTTTCCAGCATATCACAGTAGAGTGTCCTGAGGAAGGGGCATCATTTTCTAACTCACATAAAAGTGTCTTATGGTTAGGGGAGGGTCTGTACAGGGGTTTATGGTTTCAACACCTAGAGTCTCCTCAGCTTTTATAACTTTTTCTTTTGCTAGAAGTGTCAAAAATTTAGTGAGCAAATAGTCCAAAAGCAAAATTGCAACACATGGTCTGATGAAAGATTTTTTGTGTGTATAATTTATGCTTTTAGAAGACTTACAAAGACCAAACCTTGACTTCTATTTCACGATGTACCTCATGAATTGTCCCAAGAGAGTCTGGCCTGGTGGCTGCTGTGGCGATGGGTGGCACGGCTTTACAGAAGTTTTCATCTAAGCCATGTCCCTGGGAAGTTGAATATTAAAATGACAGGTGACAGGCCGTCCCAGCAGCCTCCGGGCTGTGCAGTCTATTCCATTCTACCTTCTCGCTCGCTCTCCTTCTCTCTCCATGGTGACTTCATTCACGGACCAGCATGAGGAGAAGGGAGTTCATCAAAATGTACCATTGTCCCATCCCCAATTTTGGAGACTTTAAGCATGTTTCAGCTTGGTTTCTAGCAGGAGGACGAATGGAGTCACCATGGCATAAAGGTTGGAGATGGACAGACTGGGTATGAAGCCTGCTCTGCCTCCTCCCAACTGCCTGGCCTTGGACAGATGACTTAAACTTTGAGCCTCAGCTCCTCATCTGTAAAACCAGGATATTATTTACTTTGCAGGGGTGTTGTGGCATTGAAATGAGATAATGGATGCAAGGCTCGTATGAATATTTCTCCAAAGTCAGCAGCTAGGAAATTTCTCTGAATGTTGTCAATTCCTTGGTGTCTCACAATCTATAATGATGGGTCTCTTGAAATTCCAGGTAGAAGGAGCTTCTCTTGGTGACATTTACATGATTGGAGTAAGTCTAGGAGCCCACATAGCTGGGTTTGTTGGAGAATTGTTCTATGGGCAGCTGGGGAGAATTACAGGTAAGCCTCCTGTGAATGGGCATGAGGTAGCAGGCCTGGGCAGGGTGCTCACTGCTCATGATGCAGGCAATCCAAGTGCTCAGGTTCCAAGCCAGCTCTTCCAATTACATAACTTCTCTGAGCGTGTGTCCTCTTATGCAATGGAAGATCATAATAATATTGACCTTGCGTTATTATATAATATGTGCAAAAAAACCCAAAACCCATTGATGTTGAGTCGATTCTGATTCATGGCAATCCCATGGGGTACAATGTAGAACTGCTTCATAGGGTTTTCTTGGCTGTAATCTTTACAGAAGCAGATTGCCAGGCCTTTTCTTTTGCGGTGGCATTGCGTGGGTTTGAACCACTAACCTTTAGATTAGTAGTCTAGCACAAACCACTTGTGCCACCCGGGGACCTGGCACTTTGTAAATTGTATTGTTGTTGTTGTGTGCCGTCCAGTCGATTACAACTCATAGCAACCCTATAGGACAGAGTAGAACTGCCCAATAGGGTTTCCAAGGAGCGGCTGGTGGATTCAAACTGCTGACCTTTTGGTTAACAGTCTGAGCTCTTAACCACTTTGCCACCAGGGCTCCATAAATTGTCTATGTCATAGAAAAGACTGGTGATGACTTTGTTTTTCTTATAACCTGGAGAACCAGCTATTTCCCATGTGGATTTGATCTCTGTGCCCCAGGCAGATACTCTTCCTCCTTGCATTTCACACAGGTGAGCTTTAACTACATCCCTAGTTCACGTCAGTCCCCAGAAGGAGCTGGAGTCTCATGACAGGAAAATGAGACAAGAATTTTGATGGCTGGGGCTTACTCTCTGAATATCACCTTTCAAGCCAGAATGGAATGAAAACACTCAGAAACGCAGCAGCTCAGACTCCAAGACTCCCTTGCTGGGCCCCCTTGCCTGGTGTCTCAGTAACTTTCCACAAGTACCAACAAAGGGTTGAGGGAGGCTTTCTCCTTCAGAGACTCGAGGCTTCTCCCATTCATACCTTCTCCATAATCCATCCTTACACAGAGGTAGCTATTTTAAATCTTGGAGATCTGGAAGGTAGAGGTAGATGGAAGGAGGGGAGAGGTAAATGATTCAAACCAACTAGGTTTGGGCGGTAAACTCTACAGCCACAAGTCTGAATGTGCTAGTTAACTTGACAGGTAGCCCTGGGCAAGTCATTTCTCTCATTCTCTCTCTCTCTCTCTCTGTCTCTTTGTCTCTCTCTCTCTCTCTCTCTCTCACACACACACACACACACACACACACCCCTGTTGGCTAGCATCTCCTCTAGCCCTGATTCTTGAGGTCACATTGTATTTTCTTGATGGTTTTTCTCACTTTTCACTCCAAAGACCAATGCTGCCCTCATCTTCTTCTTTATCTGCTTTCCTGGGGAAGCAAAGCTCTTTTTAAGTTTAAAATTTTATTTTTGTTATTATTACATTTTAGAAACTAATGCATCCTTATATTTTTAAATTTTCTTTTTCCCTCTGGGTACAGAAGGACAGATGGCTTGAATTTGCCTGTGTTCTTTACTTGTTGGGAGTTCACCTTCTGGCAGGTAGGACTTCTAGTGGTGTACCTGAAAGCCGACCAGCTCTCTAAAAAAGGAAAAAGCTTTGATGTGTAGCTTTTGCTGATTCCTGTGGTGTAAATACTCCCACCACGGTGGATTTCAAGCTGCCAACATGACGTTACTGACCACAGAGTCTGGGGAGAAAGGATCACAGAGCACACTCCGCTCTAGTGCCGGTGCTAGTGGGCTCCAGCCCACCACTGCCTCATTTATCTACCCTCCAGTCACACACTGAGATGCTCAGAAAAACTATGGCCACAACTACTTTGAATGGGACCCTCAATGTGTCCTGGTTTCTGGCCGTGGACATTCCCCAAGCCAGCCTTCCTTCCACTCTGGGCCCACGTAGTTCTGCTCCATCGCCTGGACTCAGCCAGTGGTGCATGGCCTCAGTTTGCTGTCTCCACTGACATCTCTGTGTTCTCATCTTCTCTGAGTCCCAAGATCAAGCTCACCTGTCCCCTGGAGCTGCTTCAGGGGATAAAGCCTGTCCATTCCCCACTCACTTCCTACTTTCTGACCTGGACAGAAAATGTGAGGTGGAAATGTGGCCTGTTACCCCAGGACACAACTCTCTCCCAACTCCCAAGAGTTGGATGGTTCTGCTAATTACTTGGTATTATCTGCTAATTGGAGCCCTGGTGGCGGGGTAGTTAAGCACTCAGCTGCTAACCAAAAGGTCAGCAGTTCAAATTCATCAGCTGCTCCTTGGAAACCCTATGGGGGCAGTTCCACTCTGTCCTATAGGGTCGCTATGAGTCAGAATCGACTTGATGGCAATGGGTTTTTGGTTTTATCTGTTAATTATCTAGCCCTTAATGGCTGCTCCATGTCTTTGATTCCCTTTCTCTCTCCTGCCCTTGCTTTTCCCCTTTCTCTTCAGGCGCCTCTCCTGGTTCTTCTTCTCATACACGTCTTCAAAAAAATATGGCAGAGGATGAATGGATCCTAAAATATTTCAGTACCTACATTACTTGATAATACTTTATATTTGCTTTTCAAACTTAAGTGTGTATACAAAACCCCCCTGAGGTCCTGGTTACAATGCCGACTTGCTGAGTTGGAATCTTTGGGGCTGGGGTCTGGGAACCTATTTTTAACCAGAAGATGCAGACAGTCCCAACACCACACTTTGAGAAATGACCTTAGAGCTGTGCTGTTCAATATGGTAGCCACCAACCACATGTGGCCACTGAGCACTTGAAGGTTGGCCTGTGCAAATTGAGATATGCTGTAAGTGTGAAATACACAGTGGATTTCAAAGACTAAGTACAAAAAAAGAGTGTAAAGTATCTCAATTTTTTTATATTGATTACATGTTGAAAAGATAATATTTTGGATCTATTGGGTTAAATAAGGAGCCGTGGTGGTGCAGTGGTTAAGAGCTCAGCTGCTAACCAAAAGGTCAGCAGTTCGAATCTACCAGCCACTCCCTGGAAACCCTATGGGGCAGTTCTGCTCTGTCCTGTAGGGTCACTATGAGCTGGTACTGACTCTACAGCAATGGGTTTGGCTTTGGTTTTTGGATTAAATAAAATGTATTATTAAAATGAATTCTCACTGTTTCTTTATACTTTCTTTAAGTGGCTGCTAGAAAATGTTCACTTATGTGTGACTCGCATTACAATTCCGTTGGACAGCACTGCCTTAGAGAACTCCCGGTGACCCGGGAATAGGCCAAGAGGTCCCGGAAATAGCGTGCCAAACGTTGGATGTTATCCTATACAGACAGCCGCAGCTTTCACCAAATTCTCAAACTAGTTAATGTGGAAAAATCCCCAGGATCACTATCTAGACACTTTTCTGGTGATCTTAGAGCAAGATTCATTTATTCTGTTTCAATTCTATAATAATCTTAGAATCTTCTGGGTTCGCACTCAGGAACCCTGTTATTCTGAAGAAGGTATTCATTTTACAGATAAGGTTCAGAGAAGTAAAGCAACCTGCCCAAGGTCACACAGCTGGTTAGTGCTAGCTTTGGGGCTCCATGCCACTTGCCACATTTGTCTGACTTCCATATGCTCTGCCCATACAGAGTATATAGCTTTTTAGGGCAGTTTAAATCTCATTTTTGGCTGACATCGTAAGCTTATAATTTGCCATGGTTTATCAAATCACTCAGGCGATTGTACATCCAAGTTTGCCTGTGACACTCATGGTTTGTACCTTCTGTCCTGGTGTGATTATCACAGCACCCTGACCACTCTCAAAATTGCCCTGGTTTGGACCTTGTAACTAGTGAGCTGATACATCATCTACGGCTGTGGAGGCTGCTGTGTAAACTGGGGCTCTCATCCTTATTGTTCTTAGGCAAGAAGTGGTGCTGTCTTAGGTAAGGAGGGAGAGTCTTCCCCAGCAAATTCCTTCCAAGGTTTGAGCTTCTCATGCTGTGTTGAGACCATCCCGTGGGCTGGGGTGCCTGCGTGCTGATCCAGCTCCTCCCACGTCAGTTTCTGTTGGGAGTAGACAGAAGAGGAACAAAGGCTGGGGAGTAAAGGGAGAAAGAGATAAGCAAAGGAGACAGATAAACAAATGCCCCGAGGAAGCTAGCTCACGGCTGGCATTCTGGAAATAGATTGCTAGGCCTTTCTTCCGAGGGGCCTGTGGGTGGACTCAAACCTCCAACCTTTCTGTTAGCAGTTGAGCGCATTAACCGTTTGCACCACCCAGGGGCTCTGAAGGGAGCTTTGGGAGAAGAGACATGGAAAGGCCAGGCCAGGCCCAGGGAAGTTGCGGTGAAGATGCGACATGACACCAGGGGATGGGCGGTGTCACCTAAAAAGATAGTCGTAGGTTGAAAATGTCACATCTTCTCTCCAGGTAGGTCTCTACCAGGCACAACCTTTTTGGGCCTCTGGCTTTCATTTTTAAAATTTTTACCTTAAAATGTTTATTTTGTGGTTGCAACACAATTTTTATTTTGCTCACCTGTTTTTGCGGCTGTTTCATAGGGACGGCGAGGAACGCCCAGCTAACACTGGCCAAGGGGAAGAGATCAGCTCAGGCATTTATGGGGGGGGGTTGATTCTGCGGGACTGACACCCACTTTATTTCCCTTTTTGATGCCTGGCCTGGCCAGTGAGTCTCTCCCTTTCCAGCCCAGGTTGCCAAACTCCGTGCGTGAAACCAAGATCTCAACAGCCAGCGCTGGTTGTGTTGTCAAGCTGTGTGACACGGGTTAAAACACTTGATCTCCCTGAACCTCGGCTCACTTCTCTGTAAAATGAGGCTAATAATAGCTACTGTGCCTTCGCCACAGGCAAGGAGGAGCAGATGAGCTAGCGTAGATGAGTGAAACTGGAAACTCTAAAGCGTCAAGTTCACACAAAGAAGTTCTATAAGTAACAAGAAGACAGTATTGAGTGAGGCTTCTGGATCATTGAAAATGGGATAGAGGCAAGCATACCAGACCAAAACCCAAACCCATTGCTGTGGAGTCCATTCCGACTCACAGCGACCCTATAGGACAGTGTAGAACTGCCCCATAGGGTTTCCAAGGAGCGGCTGGTGGATTTGAACTGCTGACCTTTTGATTAGCAGCTGAGCGCTTAACCACTGTGCCTCCAGGGCTCCAAAGATAAGTATCGAGTTTGCTTTTTTTCTCTCTTATGCACCATTGGGGCTTTTTTCCCCTGAAAAGCTAGTTTATTCCCCCCACCTTCCTGCTCCCCACATGTGTGCACCCTCACTCCCCGCTGTTAAGCGCCGCATGAGGTCGGCCTCACTGCGGGGTCTGCAAGCGGCCCTTAGGGGCACTGCCAGGGCAGCCGTCTGCACCGTGGGAAATCTGCGGGGTGGTGGGAAGACAAGGTCCTGACAAAGCGGATGGGAATGTGGGCGCTCGCCCACCAGACGGCACCCTGCAACCCGGCAGCTAGCTTACGGGGAGCCATCTGGAGCCCGGCTGCAGGTGAGTCATGGCGCGGGGCTGCCAGACTGACGCTGTTTTCTTTCTAGGTCTGGACCCTGCAGGCCCTTTATACAACGGGAAGCCCCCCCAGGACAGATTAGATCCCAGTGACGCGCACTTTGTTGACATCATCCATTCTGACACTGACGGTAACATTCCTGTCCTTGTGGGTCAGTGACCCCCCCCAGACTCCCAGAGAGTCTCCCCTGGGGCGTCGTCATGTAGGGGCAGATCAGGCCTCTCCACCTTCCTTCTCTTCCTACTGGGCGGGGCTCCAAACCCCCAGAAACGCTGATGGAAGTTTTTTTAAGGCGGGCCCCCAGGATCTCTCTCTGGGTTGGGGGTATTTTTCCACCTGTTCTCACGTTTAAGGTGATCACCTGCTCTGTGAAGGGCGGGCCAATGTGCGCTCCACGCGCACAAATGTTTTCACGTGTGTACAGTCTCTCGTCTGGGGTTGGGTACACGTGGAGTTGGCGTGATGTTCGAGGATGGGTCTGCATAACCAGATGTCCGGGAGAAGAGCTGGAGCAGGACCCCAGGGAGGGCTGAGGGGACAAAGCAGCGTGAATATTTAATTGTACATCCTTTTTCGGATGCAACCGCTGAAAAACCCTTGCCCCCCCCATCATGGGCGCTCTGTGCAGTACCCAGCAAGTTTGTCTCGGAGGAAGCTTTTCCTTGCGAAACAGCTGCATGCTTACAATGGAGACGATGGACTATTATTACATTACTTAACAGCAGCAACACAAGACCATTTTAACGCTTGAGGGAGTAAAGCAGTTTATTTTTTATCCTTGGTGAGAAAGTGAAATTTGAGAAGAAGAGTATAAACTTGCAATCAGCCCGTTGTAGTCAGTTGCTGGCGAGTTGGCTCCGACTGATGGGGATCTTACGCCTAACAGAGTGAAGCATGCCCAGTCCCGTGCCATCTCCCTGATCCTTGATATGTCTGAGAGCACTGTGGGGGCTATGACGTTAATTCATATTTTCAGTGCCCGTCAACCTGAGGGGCTCATCTGCAGCACTCTACTGGACAATGTGCTGTTGTGGTCTGTAAGACGGGGACTCCAGTCCCAGGTTTTACTCTTTCTAATGGTGCCTGTTAGTTTTTTCACACCTCTGACCTCAGTATCTTCATCTGTAAGTTTCTACATCTGAATTTACTAATGGCTACTTTGCAGATGTGAAAATCAGAAGAAAGGTCCATAAAGCACCTAGTATCATGCCCTCAGACATGCGTAGGTTCTCAATATGTCACAGCTGTTATTACCAGGGAGCCCTGGTGGCACAGAGCTTAAAGAGCTTAGGTGCTAATCAAATTCCAATCCACCAGTGGCTCCGTGGAAACCCTGTGGGGCAGTATAGGGTTACTATGAGTCAGAATCAACTTGAAGGCAATGGGTTATCATTACCATGGTCAGTATAGACACACATACATTTTTATGTGTGTCTATAAATAATCTTTTCTAATCAAGCATTTTACTGGTTATTTTGGCATTACATCGTTAAAGAAAATAAACCAAAACCAAACCCGTTGCATGGAGTCCATTCCGACTCATAGCGACCCTACAGGACGGAGTAGAACTGCCCCATAGGGTTTCCAAGGAGCGGCTGGTGGATTTGAACTGCTGACTTTTGGTTAGCAGCCAAACTCTTTACCGCTGCGCCACCAGGGCTCCATTACAGCAAATAAAGAGCTATTAAATATACCCACGCTTCTCTAAAGGTCTGTTTTCTAGAAGTGTTTCCAATCATTTTCATCATGGATCCCAAATTTTAAAGATTTTACCTATTAAGTAATTTGCATTTAAATAAAAATTCATTTTTTCCCCATTTCTTATTCAGTAAAGACTTACACAAATGTAATGAGAAGTTGAGGAAGAATTCCAGCCAAATATGAAGAAACATGTCATTTTTTCAGCCTTGCAGTGAATGAAAGCAGACCTGGTGGCACAGTGCCTAAGCGCTCAGTTGCTAACCGGGCAGGTTTGAGCCCACCAGCTACTCCGCGGGAGAAAGACGTGGCCGTCTGCTTCCATGAAGATTACAGCCTTGGAAACCCTATGGGGCGGTTCTACTCTGTCCTTGAGGGTCACTATGAGTTGGAATTGACTCGACGGCCATGGGTTTGGTTTGGGGTTTAGCGATGAATGAGTGACCAAACTTCCTTTTAAGTCTTCGGAAATATTCAAAGTAAATTCCATGATCGCCTTCCTGGCCTCCTAGTTAGAAATCATTGCTTCATAGCTACCAGGCAGTGCGACTTTGGGCAAGACATTTAAATAGGTACCACGGGAACAATAATAATACAATCCCTGCCCACATCCTGCAGGCGAATGGGCCGTGAGCGATGCAACAGTACAAGGCCGTGTAAAAGCATGATCTGTTCTCTTTTAGCGCTGGGCTACAGGGAACCACTAGGGAACATAGACTTCTACCCAAATGGAGGGTTGGATCAGCCTGGCTGTCCCAAAACAATATTGGCAGGTAAGCACAGACACTTCAAGTTTTGTAACATTGCTGTTGTTAGGGGCTGTCAAGTCGGTTCCGACTCATAGCGACCCCGTGGACAACAGGACAAAACCCTGCCCGGTCCTGAACCATCCTCACAATCGTTGCTATGCTTGAACCCATCGTTTCAGCCTCTGTGTCAATCCATCTCATTGCCTCTCTTTTGCTGTTCTTGTCATTTAGAGTTCTGCCACCTTAGCAAATGAAGGTCCCGAAAACTTGACTCCATCCACGTCATTAAGTTAGACTCTATACTTTGAGGAGGCAGCTCTTCCCCAGTCGTATTTTGAGTGCCTTCCCGTCTGAGGGGCTCATCTTCCAGCACTATATCAGACAGTTTTTTTAGAAGTAGATCACCAGGTCCTTCTTCCTAATCTGTCTTAGTCTGGAAGCTCTGCTGAAACCTGTCCACCGTGGGTGACCCTGCTGGTATTCGAAATACTGGTGCCATGGCTTCCAGCATTACGGCAACACACAAGTCCTCACAATACGATACACTGACAGACGAGTGATCTGTTTAAAAAAAGGCATACTTTAAAAATCTGATATTATTCTACATGGAGTAGTTCTTTTTTTAATAAAAAACAAAATTTCCTGAGATGGTAGAGGCGCTATAAATATAAAATATAAATAAAAATTATAAATCAAGTGTATATCTTTTTAAAACCCTAACTATATAAACCAAACACTGGCTGGTAACGAAAGCTCCGCTGACGGCTAGACCAGCAGCCCAGGCCTTTAATGAGGCACAGGAATTCTTGCTACAACCTTAACCGGATTTAATCTTTTCTCCTGCCACTTGCCAGCATGAATCCTTAAAACCCCGTAAACCAAACCCATCATCACTGAGTGGATTCCAACTCATAGCGACCCTATGGGACAGAGTAGAACTGCCCCTAGAGATTTTCTGAGGCTGTAATCTTTGCAGAGAGGAGCCTGGCTTCCGTAAAGATTACAGCCTTGGAAACCCTGTGCGGCAGTTCTACTTTGTCCTGTAAGGTCACTATGAGTTGGAATCGACTGGACAGCAATTTTTTTTTTTTTTTAAATCTTTACAGAAGCAGACTGCCATATCTTTCTCCCGCGGAGCGCTGGTGGGTTCAAACCGCTGACCTTCGGGTTAGCAGCCGAGCGCTTAACTACTGCACCACCAGGGCGCCTCATGAATCCTTAGCTATGGAATCGAGAACGTTGAAGCTGTTAGCCCTTGAAGCGGCGGCTGGCATTTAGTAGGCATATGATAAATTGTGTCTATGGATAAAAAAGTGATGTCATATTAAAAGCTCTAATTGTGCATCTTTTATGCCCAAGGACTGCACTATTTTAAATGTGACCACCAGAGGTCTGTGTACCTGTACCTTGCCTCTCTGACAGAGAACTGTAACGTCACCACGTACCCCTGTGACTCCTACCGTGATTACAGGAACGGCAAGTGTGCCAGCTGCGGCACACCACCCCAGGAGGCCTGTCCCATCATGGGTAAGCCCAAGCAGAAATGTCCCCTCTCTTCAACCAAGATCTAATTTGTGGTGGGAATCTCAGTACTATTTTACTATCTAAAACTCGGCCTGAAAATTTTATCTTTTAGAAAATCTATTTAGTCAACTTTTTTCTGGTCAACTTGTTCTGTGAACTCCTCTGGAGTCTCCCAATAATTGTTAAGAAGCAATCTGTATAGGTGTCCATCCAGAAAGTAGGGTAACCTCCATACACACTCTATTGTAATACCAAAAAGAAGGTTCCAGAAAATTTTCCAAGCTGAGCCAAGGCACCCTGTACAGCCTTCTCCCATGGGGGCAGGAATACCCTCTCCAAGTACACCGTCTCTCTGCTGTGGGTCCACAGTGAACACAGTGACCCTCTTGCCCAATGGGCCTTGCAGCATTCCCTTCAGCAAGGCATGACTGCAAATACCCGCTTTCCACACTCCGGCCCTTGCATGCGTGTACGGGGTGGGAGGTAGGTAACAGAGACTGTGGAGGCTGCTTGGATGGTTGCTAAGGGTCAGCACAAATATTCTAGGTGGTGAGGACTTTGAAACTAGATGGTCATGAGAATGTTCCAATAGTTTCCAAAAGGAAAAACTCAAGTTAACATCAGGCCATGCTATGGGCAAGTGGTTCTCGACCCTGATTGCACAACAGAATTATCTAGGGAGCATTCAAAAAATACTGATGCCTGGGCCTCACCTCAGATTATAAAGTCAGACCTGAAGGCCATTCCCTAGGGGTGGGGATGGAGAAGAGGGAGCGGCCCCACTGGACTGCACTCAACCTCATTTCCTGCAGGCATGGACGTGAAGGAGGACATTTACCTGCTTGGTGACAGAGTCACATGGCAAGTCCAGGTTTTGTGCAATGTAGGCACCCAGTTGTAGCTCTTCAGGAAAGCACATCACTTTGCAAGAGTGGTGCTGAATCTGTTTTAATTTACAAACTGAATGTATTGCCAAAAAATATCAGTGCTATTTTTAGTCCACACCAATGTGTGCCATCCCCCACCCCCACCCCCAGCAGCTAAGAGCCAGTGCTGGGTGATGTAATGTCAGTGGAAGGGAGAAAACGCCATTGCAGGGGCCTATGGCAAGCACCAGTCCTCAGGGGTAGGGTGAGCCAGCAAGAGGACGGGTGCTGGGGAGACACCTGCCCTGGTGGCTCTGTGGGTCTTCCCCATGGGGGGACTGTGAGGGAGGTGAGGGCCAATTGCCTCCATGGTGGTGGTTGCGTTTAAACTCACTGTTCTTGCTGCCTCCCCAGCTGCTTTTACATTTACAGAACACATGTTAACGCTATACTTTTCCAACTTGTTTTATAGGCTATTACGCTGATAATTGGAAAGACTATTTAAAAGAGAAAGACCCTCCTATGACTAAAGCGTTTTTTGACACAGCAGAGGAGAATCCATTCTGCAGTGAGTGAGGAACATGCTTGCTTGCTTTTGCACAATGCCTTTACTCCGGGGATGGCTGAGTTTCGGCTTCCTGGCTACTTCTCGGCAAATAAGGGCCGTGGTGAAGCATGGTCAAATCCTGACTTTACCACATAATAGCTTGGTCAAGTCATTTGACCTCTCTGAGTCTCAATGTCCTAACTGGTACAGTGAGGATAATAATGCCTATCTCCTGGATTGTAAGACGTAAAATCTCAGTAGATCATACTTGTTAGCTTCCCTGGATGGCCACCATAATCACAAAGTTCTTCAAGCAAATTGCTTGATCCTCAAGAGACCTGAGATAGAGGCCAGGAAAAATGGATCTATGGATTGGTTCCGGCTCCAGAGCAACCATGGTGACCTTCTACAGACATTGAGAGGTTGGGTATGCCCAACGAGGTAAATGGGTGCAGCAGATGATTAGATACCCTGGGAAGCCGCTAAGAATTTGCCCGGGCAGATGTATGTCTTGCAATCTGGTCTCTTTTTTCATTTTTCTTGGGAGCAACTCTCATGGAGGAGGTTGCAAGTTACTGGCGTTCTTTCCTCCTTTGGAGCCACGTGTGACAGCTCAGAATTTTGCCATCACCTGGTCTACATGGGGCAAGCCTCTGAGCACTAACAGACCATGAAATGGCAACCACACCTGGGCTGGCCTAATTCCTTCATGGAATTGTCATCTCCCTGGGACTCTCCCCTTCCCCGAAAGTCTGGCCAAGAGTTTGGGTATATGACTACCATGATGGGATCCTCACCTTCCCCAAACATCCTTGACCTTAGGGAGCAAAGAGCAGGGAGGAAGAACAGCTCTCTGGATGCATCATGTGCTCTCGTTTATTCAACAGCAATTTACTGGGTGTCCGCAAGGTGTTAGTGCTGGGATTATGGAAAGGAATGATCACTTCTTCCTAGTGACTGTTGTGGTACATTTTAGTTTTATCTTTTTTTTTTTTAAACCCCAGAAGACATTATTTGGGCAATATTTGCATGGCTGTACCGAAACATTTACCACTGTTTTGATGATCATTCTTGCATTTTGTAAATATAGTAAAATGTGCTGAGTAGGGATGGGGGAAGCCCAGAGCATGAACAGAACTCCAAGAAGAGAGACCTGTCTTAGTGTGAGGGTCAGGGAGGGCCTTCTGGAGGAAGCGACGTGAAACTGAAACCTGAAGGATGAGCTGGCAGAGGGCGCAGAGCAAGAGTGTTCCAGGCAGGGAGGGAGGCCCAAGAGCAAGGGAGAGCTTGGCAGTGCAGAAGTTCAGATGGCCTCCCATGACTTGGGAGAGACGAGGGAGGCCAGGAGGAGACTGGAGGCTCTTGTTGGCCATGGAGAACCTCCCCGTGGCCACCTAGTTGATTTATTCCAGAATAGGCAGGGATTGAAGTGAACCAGCATACCCAGCAGTAGGCCATGAACCTCAGTTAATAATGTGGAAACACTGATTCAACGGTGATGCCGAAACATGGCAACTGGATACCATTGAACTGCTGTCACTCATGCCACCTTTATGGAAGAGAAACCAAGGGAGTTAGAAAATCCTGCCCTGGATCTCTGTGCGGAAACTGGAGAGGAAGAGAAGAGGCTTGATTGTTAGGGATCCTGCTGCCTGCTTCCAGGGAGCAGTTGGGACCCCCCCTCTCTCACTGTGTTCTCTCCCTGTTTTGCAGTATATCATTATTTCGTGGACATTATAACTTGGAACAAGAATGTAAGAAGAGGGTCTATTACAATTAAATTGAGAGACAGAGATGGAAATACTACAGAATCCAAAATCGATCAGTAAGTTGGGTTGGGGTAGTTTGCAGTTTGCCATTTTCCTTGTTGCTCAGCAAAACTAAATCCCAGATATATCTGTTATTAAAATATTTAGATCTGTACTACAAAAGATATGAGGGTACACATTGCTTAGTTCTTTTCCCTGGCTCTTGATCTCCCAGGCTCTTTAAAAATGGAATTGCTTCTATGGTTTTCTTTCCTTATCTTCCCTTCCCTCCCGCTTTCCCCTCTTTCTGTCTCCCTCCTTTCCTCTTTCCCTCTCTTCCTTTCTTGCTTTATTTAAATTATGAAAGTTATCCACGCTTGTTGCAAAGGATTTAAACAATCACACACACATAGGTTGGAGGTTCGAGAAGAAAGGCCTGGTGATCTACTTTTGAAAAACCACCCTTTGAAAACCCGATGGAGCACAGTTCTACTCAGACACACAGGGCGTTGTCATGGGTCAGAATCAACTCGATGTCAACCAACAACAGCGACAATGTAAACGATGCACATCCTTATCGTCGTCACGTTTGCAAGGGTCACCACCAATGGGAGAAACGCGGAAGAAAGGAGACAGTTGTTCTGTTAAATGATAAGATTACGGGTATTTTTCTCTTTTTTGCAAGGTAAACTTAACATTTTAGTATTATCTTTGTAATCTAAGACAAGGGAAATTCTATTGGAGCCTGTAACCTAGTTTACCCAACCTCTCCAGACTACGGGCGCAGATGGCGTCGCGTTCGAGGTTACGATCTGCTGGTAACTCTTTTCCCACCTTTTTACTTTCATTCTCCCTGTATCCACATTTTTATTAACTATGTTCTTTAAAACCTTTTTAAAATTGAGATATAATTCACATACGATAAAATTCTACTCTGTCCTATAGGGTTGCTATAGGGTTGCTCTGAGTCAGAATCAACTCGACAGCAATGTGTTTTTTAAAGCGTACAATTCAGTGATTTTTAGTATATTCACAAGATGGCACGATCATTATTGTTGTGTGCCATCAAGTCAATTCCGACTCATAGCGGCCCTATAGGACAATTAAACTGCCCCATAGGGTTTCCTAGGCTGTAATCTTCATTGGAGCAGGTCGCCAGGTCTTTCTCCCATGGAGGTGCTGGGTGGGTTTGAACTGCCAACCATCTACTTAGCAGCTGAGCGCTTAACTACTGTGCTACCAGGGCTCCTTTCGCACAATCATTACCACTATCTAATTCCAGAACATTTTTATCGCCTCCCAAAAAGAAACCCCATATCCATTACTAGTAATTCCCCATTCCTCCCTCTTCCTACTCCAGGCACTAATTGCCCTTGACTCAATTCTGACTCATAGCAGCCCTACAGGACAGAGTAGAACAGCCCCATAGGGTTTCCTAGGCTGTAATCTTTAAGGGAGCAGATCGCAGGGTCTTTTCGCCTGGGGAGCGGCTGGCGAATTTGAACCCTGGACCTTTCCATTAGCTGCCGAGCACTTTAACCACTGTATCACCAGGGCTCCTTATTTCCACTCTAGTCTTTACTATTTCCTTTCTTCTGCTTGCTGTGCGTGAGTTTGCTCTTCTTTTCCTTCTTCTTAAGGTGGAAGATTAGGTTCTTGATTTGAGATCTTTCTTTTTGCACATCGGCATTTACAGCTATGGATTTCCCTCTAAGTACTGCTTTATCTGCATTCCATAAAGTTTGGTATGTTGATTTTCTCCTTTTCATTAATCTCAGAGAATTTTCTAATTTCTCTTGTGAGTTCTTTTTTGACGCCCTGAGCGTTTAGGATTGTGCTGTTTAATTCCCGTGTTTGTGAACTTCCCAAATTTACTTCTGTTACTGATTTCATTTCATTGTCATGCATTTTCTAAAAAACACTTGTCTGAGAGGTTTTGCTCCGGTAGTTTTGATTGACTGTTAACTCAGACAGCCGACCAGGAGGCTTCAGGCTGAATGTGTGAACCTCATCACACAGTTCTCTATTTGAAACTGCAGCATCAGGATGATATCCTGCTCTTATTCTGGAAGACTTTGTAGGAAGTCAAGCTGCTGTGGCCACATATTAATGATTTTCCCCTTCCTAGAACACGAGTGGAGCCTTGGTGGTGCAGTGGTTAAGAGCTCGGCTGCTAACCAAAAAGGTCAGCAGTTGGAATCCACCAGGTACTCCTTGGAAACTCTTTGGGGCCGTTCTACTCTGTCTTAAGGCGCAACTCAACGGCAACGGGTTTTTTGTTTTTGTTTTTTTTTTAGAACAGGAGTACTCAGAGGTGGACTTTGTTTTATTTTCTTTTTCCTTTTATGGCTCATTATTGTTTTGGTAAGGAGCCCTGGTGGCACAGTGGTTAAGTGCTCGGCTGCTAAAGGAAAGGTCAGTTGGAACCCACCAGCCACGCCGCAGGGAGAAAGATGTGGCCGTCTGCTTCTGTAGAGATCACAGCCTTGGAAACTCTATGGGGCAGTCCTACCCTGTCCTATAGGGTCTGTGCGGGTCTGGAGCCAGTCCACGGACACGGGTTATTGTTTTGGTCTGAGCCCTGATGTTCTCCCATCTCCGTCTAGGTTACCTGAAACCCCGCAGTGAGACACTTGGGCAAGTGCTGGCCGGGCACACTACTTGAGTGCTGTGGTCACGGTCACATTTCTTACACTCATGCACATATTTGTACCGTCTCTAACAACTCTGGCAGCCCTGGTGCCACTGTGGCTAAGAGCTTGGCTGCAAACCAAAAGGTCAGCAGTTCAAATCCACCAGCCACTCCTTGGAAACCCTATGGGGCAGTTCTCTGTCCTATAGGGTCGCTATGAGTCGGAATGGACTCAACTGCAAAGGGTTTGGGTTTTTTTTCTTTTTTGGTTTTAACAATTGTGAGTATTTGGTTTTGTAACTTCATCGTTTTGCATTTCCCTATGTTTCTCCTGGCTGTTGGCCATCCGCGCCCCATCAGGGTGCTTGGAAGTGCAGGAAGCAACTGCCTAACCCCTTGCCCGTAGAGCAGGTGTGCCCCTGGTTTGCGGGCCACGGCTTCGCAGGGAAGGTCACCAGGAGGGGCTGCATCCCTAGCTCCCTCCGCCTGGCCCAAGCCCCCTGCTCCCAGTCCTCACCATTGGCACCCTGTGCCGCCCTGCAGCTACAGCGCCTGCACTGCAGGGACCTGGGAGCCACTCAGGGGCTGTGCCCCAGGGCTCTCAGCGCATGCCCCTGAAATGCGTACCTTCTCCCCTTTCTTTTCTTTTGGATCCTAGGATCAATTCCACCTTTCCTGCCCTAAGTCCTGGGGATCAGCGGTTCTCCAGGGAGCTGGGGTTCCTTTCGAAGAAGGGTATTTAGAAACCCAAATCTGGGTATGTTTCAGATTCATTTTACTGGTTGTATTTCTGCACTCCCCAGGATTCTATTGGGGCTGGGGTGACAGAAACCTCCTCATACCCACCCTCACCCCAAACGAAGGATTCATTTCTAGAGCAAGCCTGCTGTTTGGCACCCAGGGAGGATCTTCAGTCTCCCACGGCTCACTCCCCCAGCAACCCAAAAAGACACGAGTCACCTCACCTCCCCAGTGGATACACCTTAGGCTCAATTTGGGTTTCCAACTGTAGAAAACATCTCCACACACTTGGAAAAAAGCACTGGAGCCTGGGAGTTAGCTATTTGAAGGTTCAGCATGAAAGAGGCAGGCCTGAAAAAAATATCTGTCTAGGCACAGCTTCTCAATATCTAGTTTTGCTCAAAAGATAGTAAGTACATTTATCCCTGATCTGTGTTCAGTGTACAGAAAACATGCATATGTGTACAGCAATGTGGTTGCATGGAAAGGCCAAAAATTTGAACTTAGCCAGAACTGGGTTGGAATCCTTGAGCTGCTGTATATAAGCCCTGTGGTCTGAGTGAGCTAATCTCTGTGAGCGCTGGTTTCCTTCCCTGTAAAAACAAACAGAAAACCAAACCCGTTGCTGTCGAGTCAATTCTGACTCATAGCGACCCTATAGGACAGAGTAGAACTGCCCCATAGGGTTTCCAAGGAGCAGCTGGTGGATTCAAACTGCCGACCTTTTGATTAGCAGCCATAGCTCTTAACCACTGCACCAGCAGGGCTCCTTCTCTTTAAAGTGAGGATAACAATACCCTGGCAGAATTTCGCAGCAGATCGGAGCTGTGTCAAGAGACTGGCATACAACAGCAGTCAGTAGCAGCCTACCTCCTAATGCCATAGCATTCTATCATCGGCAGGGACAGCAGGCTCACTTACGCAGTCCTGTGGATCCAGCGGTCTTTGCCCATGAGAGTCGGCTAGGGGAGGCAAGGGTCAGGTGCCTGCCTGCTTTCAGTCGAGTTGATTCCTACTCATGGCAACCCCATGTGTGTCAGAGTAGAACTGTGCTCCATAGAGTTTCTTTCCAATGGCTGATTTTTTTTTTTTTTTTTTGGAAATACATTGCCAGGCCTTTCTTTCAATGTGTCTCTGGGTGGACTCAAACCTCCAACCTTTTGGTTAGCAGCCAAGAGCACTAACCATGTGTGCCACCCAGAGGTTCCCTGGCTACCTGCTTGCCAGTGATTTACAGATTGTAAAACTGTTTGTTATCATTATCAAATCTATAGCTACTTTTAAATATTGTTTCTTCCTTCCAGTCAACCTGCAACATTTCAGAAATATCACCAAGTGAGTCTGCTTGCAAGATTTAATCAAGATCTGGATACAGTGGCAGCCATTTCTTTGGTGTTTTCTACAGGAACTGTCACAGGCCCGAAGTACAAGCTCAGGATTCTTCGAGTGAAGTTAAGGTCGCTTGCCCATCCAGAGCGGTGAGCAGTCGGCAGGACTCGACATGCCCTTGTTTTCCAAAGAGTTGTTGGGTTTTTTCCAATCTGTTTAGTGTGATGTTTTAACAGGATTCCATCAGTCATGAGAAGGGAAGAAGAGGGCTTTCCCAAAACAGGCTTGATAAAAACCAATAGTCGAGTAATCCCAGAAAGTTATACTGGTATATGCTAAAAGAGAAATGGCCCAGAAGGCCGAGAAAATAATGTCGTTAGATGCTTAGCATTATAACCCTAACCACCTACGCTGCTTGCAAGTTGAAAAATCCTTGAAAATTTTCAAAAAATAGAAAAGAAAGTCTCATTTAGTTTGATAAACTGATAAAACAGAGACTAGTATAAAAACCCAACCAAACCCATTGCTGTCGAGTTGATTCAACTCATAGTGACCCTACAGGACAGAGTAGAACTGCCCCATAGGGTTTCCAAGGAGTGGCTGGTGGATTTGAACTGCTGACCTTCTGGTTAGCAGCCGAGCTCTTAACCACTGTGCCACCAGGGCTCCTAGTATAAAAAAGGTACAGAAAAATTGGTATATTTTTTCCATTGATACAGTATAAAAGTACTGTATCAATGTTCAATTTCTTAAATTTGATAATTATGCTGAGAATATCCTTGCTCTTAAGAAATACACACTGAAGTATGATGTGGTAAGCAACTACCCCCACTTCTCACTTACTGACGTGGTTCGGTTCCAGAGACCAGGATGGTACGCGAAAATGGGCATTAAGCAAAAACGAAGGATGACCACGTCAGATCACAAAATGGAGGATGACTACATCATTGCATAACTGCCAAGTTACATCATTATGTAACTGCCAAACCACTGAGAATCGTGGCCCATCCAAGTTGGCACCTAACCTTAACCATCACAGCCAGTGTTATTCTTGCCTCACACCTCGGTGTTTGTTACTGCCAGACGGACGTTGTTAATGTGCAAACTAGTCGGATAGTTTTTTTACTATTGTCGTAAACGTGAAATGTCCGAAAAGAGACTTAACAAGTGAGGAGCAGGCGTATTCTCAAATGGTTCCAAAAAAATATACAACAATATGTTTGTGTATGTGTGTGTGTGTGTGTGTGTGTGTGTGTGTGTGTGTGTAGGAAGAGAGAGATTGGGGGGGAAGAAGGGAGGGAGGGAGGAAAGAAGGAAGGAAGGGAAAGAATGATTTTTTTAAATACCGCGCTGTGTTGGTATGTATGTTTGGTGACAAATGGCACTGCAGCACACAGTCCTGGCACCTGATCTATGGACAGAGATAGGGAGTGATGTTCGCGGTTAATACTTTATGTTTATGGATTCTTTCTTCTCGGTTCAGGTACCCTAACCCATTATAATAACTTTCTTCAAGACAATAGTCATTACATCTTCAAACCGTGGGACTTGACTTTTTAAATACTTTTTTCCTGATTATCAAAGGAATACATGTTCATTTTATAAAATCTTGAAAGTACACAAAGTGTCAAGAAGCAGAAAATTATCACCTATAGTGTCATTATTCGGAGGCGAACTCTTAGTTTTGTTTTTCGTTTTCTAATTTTCCATTTTTTTAACTTAGCTGAAGTTCACTTAGTTGTGAGGTAAATAAAATTTTTCATCCTGATTTTTGTTGTTGTTTTGCTCACATCATAAGCATTTTCCTATATCGTTAGAAATAATGGCTAAATAATTTCTTTTTTAGGGATACAATGTAATGTATTTTTCTAGAATATGGTATTTTTGTTATCTCACTGACAAGGATATTTTGTCTTCTTTTCACAGGCCCCAGTTGTGCCGCTATGACCTTGTACTGACGGAAAACATTGAAACAGTCTTCCAGCCTATCCTCTGCCCAAAGTTGCGAATGTAATGCTGTGGAAACACTTGGCACCGGTAACATCAAGAAAGCTACAATGACAGGCTTTTTCAAAGCTGCGCTTCACCTTTTTTGCCAGGAACAAAAAATACGGAAAGGCCAGAATTTTTTTCAGTAGTGTCCTACGGATGTCACAATGCAAAATGTCAAACGACCTGGTGATCATAAAATCTCCCTGGGACAGGGACATCTAACGAGGGCAGTCAGAAATAGCCAGCTCCCGACGGCACGCTGCTTGGTTTGGCTGCCTCCCGCGGCCTCGTTTGTTCCGACTCGTCGACTCCTCTGCCTGTCACAAGGACAGTTCTGCCCGTCGCTGCGGGCAGGAGTCTTACAGGGAAGGACTGGCCGGAGACCACACTTCGGACTTGACTCCACAATCCCTGCGCCACATTCCTCCAGGTCCCCCCCGTGGAGGGGAGTAGGAGCTGCTGACCTACCTCACAGGGCCGCTGGGTGGGCTTGGGAGGCAAGGTCACAAAGGCTTCTTTGAAGTCCCCTAGGGGCCACATCCCTGAGACGTTTGATAAATGTGAATATGCTTTTATTTATTTTGGTGAGGCTTTTCTCATATGCAATAAGGGGGCTTCTCAGCACCGGCTTCTCTCTTGGGCTGTTCACTGGGAGGGCAGGAAGACCATGCCCCTGGCTTCCTTGGAGGAGGTGGGGACAGAGGACAGCAAAGGAAGCAGCTGCAGAGACCGGGGAGTAAGTGGAGGGAGGAAAGAGGGCAGATGAAGCAGAGAGGCAGCCTCGCAGCGTGGGGACAGGGATGGAATGAGGGGCAGGGGAGAAAAAGCAGAGCCTGTTTTTCAGTTACGGTGGAGAAGGGACCGCTTTACAGGTAATCCTTACAAGCGATCCTAAAAATACGTTTATTTTTCCTTGTTATCAATGCAATCCATGATTATTGAAGGAAATATGCAATCCATGATTGTGGAAGGACATTTAGAGAATGCACAGACGCAAAATGAAAAAATACCATCTCGCATCCCACCTCTTGGAAATAATTGTTAACCTGTTGGAAAGCTGCAACTAAGCAATTTGTCCTGTTAACATGTGAGTTCAAAGGGTAAACCTGTTTGCTCTTGGTGCATCTGAGGCCTCCACTTCAAGAAATTCTCAGGCTTCCCTGGAAGGAGGTGTGAGCCGTGAATCAGGAATGACAATAGCAGTCAAGCCAAGAAGACTCCCACAGAGGCCAGAACCCAAGGGAGCACCCTGGGGCCAGATGCCCAGTGTGGGCAGAGCCAGTGCGGTGGGCACGACTCACCCCCAGCGTGGCCACTGCAGGAAGATTCCTGAGTGCCACAGGCCCGGCAACCTCCTCCTTCAGGGACTGCTCTTCACTGCCTTCCGTGAGAACAGCCCTTGTATCGCATAGATTGAATAAATCTGCGAATACATGCCTGCGTGGCACACCCACTTACGGATTTACATCTGTATTAGGTACAGGCTGTGTTTCACTGAAGTGAAGGATGTTAGCAGCGAAACTCCTGAATAAAGCTCAGCAGTGCTCCTGCCCACTCAACAGTTTATCATCCTTCTCCTTCTTCCCTGTTTCCTTGGCAACTGTGGATAGAGAGAGCAGTGTGCCGGTACACTCTTGATTTCTTTTTAGAGTTTTTATTGGCCTTGTATTTTGATGAGCCTAACAGTCACTTCTTTGCCCTTTTCCCCACACTTGGTGAGCAGGAGGTTGCAACATAATTCAGATTTGGGTCTTTCCACTGGCTTATGAAAAATGCCAGGAATCGCATTTTTATCCATTTATAAACTGCTTGGGCCAGTGGGTCTCTCTCTGCTCCTTCTCTTAGTGTCTTCTAGCACAGTACCAGAGTTCCTGGGTGGCACAAACAAGTAAGCGCTCAGCTACTAGCCAAAAGGTTGGTGGTTCGAACCCACTCAGAGGTGCCTTGGAAGAAAGGACTGGCAATCTGCTTCTGAAAGGTTCAGCCTTAGAAAGCCTATGGAGCAGTTCTACTCTGCACACATGGGGACACTGTGAGTCGGAATCGACTCAATGGTAACTAACAGCAGCACAGTACCTGGCTCACTGTGGGCCTTGGATAAATGTCTATGGAACGGGTGGACGGATGGATGGATGAATGAATTAAGGAGTGAAGGAAGGAACTCAGTTCACTGGAGCAAAGATGAATTTCAATGTGTTTCCTGCAGGGCTTCATTCTGGTTTGACCCCCTGCTGAGTTTTTGTTTCCACCCCAGATATACTGTATCAGAATCTACATTTTAATAAGATCCTCGAGTGATTCTTATGTATGCATCTATATTTTAACAAGATCCCTGTGTGATTCTTATGTATACATCTACATTTCAACAAGATTGTTAAAATGTAGATTCTGATTCAGTATATCTGGGGGTGGAAATGGAAATTTTCAGCAGGGGGTCAAACTGGAATGAACCGGTTCAAAGCCCTGGTTTCCTGTAACAGTGATAAGGAGTAATGAAGGCAGTTACAGTGTGGCCACTCTCTTCTCAAAATGTTTCCCCTAAGGCCCTGGAGCTTTTGACTCTGTCTCTTGTTATCTTTGCCTCTACCCCCTTCTCTTCATCAGTATGTCGATCTGAATCCAAAGTCGTCTTCCCTCTGCTCTTCACCAGTTATCTCCTGCTAACCTTTGGATCTTAGCTTAGTCATCACTTCTTCAGGGGAGCCTTCTTGGATCTCATTTGTCTACACAGCACATTGTGCCTCTCCTTCATAGCACTTCCTAAGTTGTGATTTTTTACATTTATTTGTGTGGTTATTTGATAAATCTGTCTGTCTTCTCGACTAGACTGTCAGCTCTGTGTGGCAGGGGCTATGCGCCTGGCACGGTGCCTGGAATATAGCCTGTGCTGAGGAAATATTTATTAAATGAACACCCCATTATCCCCTGAGCCCTATGGAAGCATGTTCAGTTGCGAGTAATACAATCCACCCGCAACCCCTGTCACATCCCATTTCCATGAGGACACCTACCCTCTCTCCCTTGCCCATGGACTTCTCTCTTAGATACTTTTGTTCCTATTGTCACCCTTAGCTCTGAAGGCCAATTCCTCATGTCCCAGGATCCCCGGGAAAAACAGAGGTTGGCTCTTTTTTCACTCCTCACCATATCTTCCGCGTGGTTCCAACACCATTCCTTAGCAAATCCATCTGTCCTGAAGAATAGGAGATTTTGCCCTCTTACCCATTTCAGCACCACTGCTGAAGCCTCCCAGGACCCTGCCACACTGCTGGATGCCTCCAAGCCATGGTTCAAAGTCCTGCCTTGTCTGCTTTTCCAAGACTCCCTTCCACCACTTCCTTTGCCACTGACTGTACCTGCTTCCATTACTGCTTTTATTATGCCATATTGTAATATGTTTGTTTCCGTGTCTGTAACCCCCTCAAGACTGTGAGCTCCAGAAGAACAGGTGCTGTTTATTTATCTTTGCCTCCTCAGCACCTAGCACAAAGTAGATCCTCAATAAATTCCTGGAACGGAATGGAATAAACTCATCCTTAGGGACTTGAGGGATTCACCTCCACTATGATTTAGACATTAACACACTTAACTCTGTTATTTCCAAAATCCTAAAACTTGAACCTCCTACCCTTGGACCGCCGTCCCATGCTCTCATTCCTACAGAACCTTATCTGTGCCAAGGAGGCTTGTATGCCAGAAGTAAAAATCTACTCTACTAACCCAAATTTTATTAGCGAGATTAATGAGGAGTACAGAGAGGATTTATGGAAGCGCAGAAAGAGCTGAACCATCAGGCCTCAGGAGGGGCAGGGAGGAAGGCTGTTCTGGAGTCTGCAGCAATAAGAGTTCATGGACCTTCATTAACCCTAATGCTCTGTATGAATCTCTGTCTCAACGCAGCTCCCTGCACAAAACAACAACAACAAAACAAAACAGGAGGTGGGGCCAAGATGGCGGAGTAGTCAGACACTTCCAGTGGCCCCTCTTACAACAAAGACCTGAAAAAGCAAGTGAATCAATAATCTATGACAGTTTAGGAGCCCTGAACATCAAAGGCAAAGCTGAAGAATTGGACTGAGTGGCAGGGGGAGGGAGAAACTGTCAGAAGCAGCGAGGAGTTGCCAGAGCTGACCTGGCAGAAGCCAACACCCTTCAGAATGGATAGGCTAGCATGTGTGGTGAGGGAAGCAGTGGTGTTTGGGACGCGTTTTCCATATCGGGAGAGACTAAGTGGTGGAGAGTCTACTCAAGCCTCCAGAACCAGTGAAAAGGGGCGTTCAATGAGCAAAAGATATTCTAACCTGCTGTGTGGATTAAAAAAACACCCCGTTTGGGAAGAACCTCTCTCTCATTTACCTGCTCCCTCCCTGCTCTGCACCAGGTCCCAGGCTGGCTTCAGTGATTGCCGTTTCCCCTGGGCTGGAAGTAGGACCCATCACATGCCCTCAGCCATTCTCCTGGCCTTGGAGAGGGAAAAAATTAACAAACAAGAAAAAATAATCTGCCAGTTCCCCTAAGCCAGGAACTCAGGGCAGGCAGAGCTCCTCTGCCTAGGCACAGGCATAAGGGGTCCATGGACTTTGAATGCCTTTCACCCCTGCAGAGACTTGTGTGGGCCCATTTCAAGAGCGTAGGCCCTCATTAACACAGTACAACAGGGTATATACCTAAAGCCTGACTTCAACAGTATCAGCTATATGGTGGAGTGGCCGGTTCGTGACAGTTGACACCGCTCTGTCCATTAAGCAGGGTCCTCACCTACCCACATCAGGGGCCTGAGGACTGGTGGTTCCTCCCATGCCACCTAACCTCCTGCTACAGGGGTCCAAGAATAAGTGGTGCCTCCCAGTCTTTACAGCCAACAACACTGGGTGCTCATGGTCCAGCTGCAAAACCCACACACCTACGTGCTCTAGGGAACAGGGACATGCTTTCCTCCCAGACACGCAGAAGCAGCCATCAGCCCCTGCCTTGCTTAGTGCATGAACCCATACTACAGCCAGATACCTGTGCCTACACCAATCACCCCTGCCCATCTAGGACTGTAGGTGAGAGCCTGTGCCACACACTTGGTGACCAACTATCTGGACAGCTGAGCTGAATCCATACAAGAAAAGTAAATGGACTCCTGGGCTCACATACGTAGTAACAGATCTAACCTCCTGGTGACAGGATGTT